TCGATCGATATAAAAACAGGTATATGCTAGTTTTTATCATAAAATGACTCTATGGAGTAATGCTCGACTGGCTGCCAAAACCTCTCTTAAACATCAAATCAAATCTTTATCTGCTTTTTTATTATTGCTGATTGGTAACAATGACACTAATATATAATAGTTTGATTTGAAGCTTGGCATTCTGTCCAGTTGTAAAAACAAGAACTTAGCTAACTCAGTATGAAAACATGTCTCAATTGTTCTGCGAGCTAGGATCAACTCGCGATAAAAAAGATCTTCTTTAATTAGTCATTATTTGCTTCTTTATATTTTTGTATCAGTAGGTCGGACGCTAAATCTCCCGAGCCGACTGCCTCTGATGCTTCGTCTGCCCTAAAACAGCCAAGTGCGCATTTTATCAAATAATTCGAGCACTAACTTAGTTGAATGAATATTTTTTTTCGAAACAGTCACGACAACTCAGCCAGACCACCCGCCAGCTACACGATCCACAGAACATGTACGACTCGTAAAGGTAAGGTCAACTTCATGATCAATACACAAAGACCTATCTGTGTGTTTTATGTCTCAGCGACAAATACCAAACCCATGCATTACTGCAGAACCTGAGTCCAGTTGTTGCAACGATTTGGTTGGCCTCACTCTTGAATGTGGCGATGAAAGCTTTTTCGACCAAGGTATACATGTAACACTGACATTTTCTATGAAAATGGAAATCTTTAAAAGTTTCCTAACTCTGCATAAAATCAATTATTTTATTCGTAAGCGATGATACCAATCCTGTGGGTATGGGTGTTGGTGGATGGGTAGGGTTTGGTATTTGGGTGAGAATCAGTAGGAAATCCGTATTCACACACCATATCCACACTCTTTTATTTATGTATATCATCGGATGTGGATTTCTTAGCTCTACACATATCCATTTTCACTATGAGAATTACCTAATATTTTTACCAAAAGAGAGATCAACACACTATGTCAGATGCCGATAACGATTCTCAAGCGCGATTTTTAATCAATATTTCTAGGAGACCTCAAAAAGTGATGAAATTTTACTTGAAACAATTTGCTTTTGAAGTTTGAATAACAAATAACATTGTCTATTTCACATACTGTGTTTTGATAAAATATAAAATAATCGGTGTATTTTACTCATTAGAGAACTGAGCATATTAACAATGTCTTGTCACGGCCATACTCTGGAGCCCTTTATCCTTCTTGTTGAAAAGTCCTGTCTGCTTACTTGATCTCATCTAAATTCACAACTGATGAATTGCTGTACGTCTGCATTTAGGAAATACATCACTACGAACAATGACTTTCAAACGGAATGTTAACGTTTACATTGGCGCACTCGATACAAAATTGCCTGATAATAACGACATGCAGATTGTCTTGTTCAGAGGCTCGTTCGATTGTATCTCGAAAGTATTATCAGTTAAAGACAAACTAATTTATCTCGTTGTGTCGAACAAATGGGCCAAATCCGTTGTGCCGTTAATACACAAGCACCGATGCATTGAACATATCTATATACATCAAAATTCTGATGATCAACAGCAAGTTGATTGGATGAAAGACTATCCGAAGATTCATAGTAGTGGACCTTTCGTAGATCTGTTGTTAAAGCGAATCAAACACGACATTGATTCACTCAGGAAACGTCCTTCTCGCTGGTCGCGATCTAAAACATTGTTGAACGAGTTATGTTTGCAGACTTCTCAAAACGATCTTTTACCACCGATCAAAGATAGGCCCGTAGAAGATCTGAGCATGTTACATATTGTTACGCTATTTTTCGGTACTCATCGACCGTTTTCTCGGTCTCAGTGTAATATTCATATCGACGAGTTCAATAATGCGGACGAGTGCACTCAGTCGATTAGAGCTCAGAGTTCAATTACTGTTTTCCTACTAATTTTCGTAGATGGATCCAATGATATATGCGCATTATTTGAACTTGATGCTATTCATGCAGTCTATATTGTTTTGAATGGTAACTACAATGAACAAATCGAAACAATGTCGAAGCATTCCAAAGTCAGCGGTGTGTTTAATTTAGACGAAGATCTACTCGAACAACTTACTACGGATATTTGTTTTTATCGACATATGCGAGTACACACACCGATGGTAAATACCTTCCACATTGGATCCAGTATTGCCGACAATGCTGATAACCAACAAATAAGCTTTCTATCTTTTCAATTATTTAGTGACATACTTCCACATATACCACTTGATTCGGATGCAACCGTTGAGAGAAGCGTTGAAAGTGTCAATCAATTACTTCCTCTTCTGACTGGCGCAAACCTAACAATCAGTAATCTTTTCAACCAATTTAACAGCTCCACACTGCAAAAGGTCGTATCTAAATTGAAAGAAATCAATCAACGTATGGTGTCATTGTCAAAAAAAGCTGATTCGTTCTCAGCTACGGCCTATCGAGCTCAACTAGTATCAAAAAACAATTTAGAAATTTTACGAAACAATCCAAACAGTCTTCTTTCGATACCAACATTTATTTTAGCTTCGCGATCTTTCCATGCTGTGGCCGATGTTTGTCGTCGAGCAGTCGACAATCAACTTACTGTAATTCTCTTCGAGTTCAATTTGTCTGAAAACACGCCTATAGTGGATTCGAATTCAGATATAATCGTTTTGAGTTTTGGTACTGTCTTTCGATTAGTATCCATCGAATCAGCTGTCGATGGTGTCTGGCATGCTCAGCTCGAATCTGCTGATGGTGCGATGCAATGTATCAAAGACCAATTGCAATCCAGGATCGGTGGCCGACTTACTTGGTTGACATTCGGCAACTATTTGGCTTACCTAAAACTATTCAATGAGGCTAAACAGTACTGCGAATTTCTTTTGAGTTTGTTTTCACAGAATCCTTCGATCCTTGTATCGATATACAATAACATGGGTTTGATTTACTCAGCGATGAATGATGATCAAGAAGCCTTGAACTGGTTTGAGAAAGCGGTATCTTTAAGCTTACTGCATCCGGCAACAGTTATTAATCAAGAAAACCCATCAAATACTGACTTATTGCCTCTTGAAGATTCGTCTAGTCAAGTTAATATATTGAGCAAAATGGCTGAAATAAGCCATCGTCTAGGAGATCAAGTAACAGCGATCAATTTTTATCGGCAAGCACTTGAGATTGCCACCGATGTGACTTTACAGAAGTTTTATCAAGAGAAAATTCAAGCTCTTTCCTTTCTCGATAATAATCATTAAACTAGATTGTTCAGTATTTTTCTTATTTCTTTCATTTTTCTTTTAGTTTTATATTTGACTACATTCCATGACAAAAACAATCCGTCAATAACAGGATTTCTCTAATAGTTATCATTGGATAAACGAGAAAAACGTATTAGTTGACGCACTATAATATCGGCCGGCAATATAGTAAACGACATGGTTCAAACAAATGAGACGCCTATCAGCCAAAATTTGATGTGTATTGTTTATCACGATGTAAAGCTATCCATGCATCATAGACGTCAATTAAAATTATATCTGAAACAAAGATTTTGTTATACACGTACTTTTACTGATGTCGATAATTTGGCAGACTGTCTTAATCATACACTCATTGTGAACAAATTGGTCATTATTGTAAGTGGCAACGAAGCTAAATTTCTCTACGAAAATATCCAAATTGATGAAAGCATTTTACAATATCCACTTGTGTATGAACTGCAATTTGATAAAAAGCCGCTAAGGACAGAATTACCACATGATAGAAGATTCCAATCTATTGACAAATTATTTGAAAAGATTGATGATGATGTGAAAGAATATATCACGACGAAGAACCAATATGATCATGCGACTGTAGACGATAATGAATTGGATCCTCAACAGGTGCCATTCTCATTTGGCATCCACGAGTTTTTTGGAAAACAAAAATCCCTTTGTTATCTAAGTAGAGAAGCACTCAAATTCATCTTATTTCAATCATTTATAGAAGTGCTCTTGGGAATCAGAATTGACAAAGAAGAGGCTCTCAAAACAATGTGGGCCAGTTGTCGCGAAGATTCAGTCCATCAGAACGATTTCAACGATCTGCTAAACATTGATAAATTCGAACAGGAGTATGTTTCTACAGATCCCATTCGTTTGTATACTAGAAATTCATTCTTTTTTCGATATGTCAATAAGGCATTTCGATGTGAAGATGTCGAGAAAATCTTTGAATTTCAACCTTTTATAGTCGATATGCATCAACAGCTAAATAATCTTCGCAATGAACAACGATCTAAGACAAATTGTTCTAAAAATATACTTCGTCGAGGTAAAAAATTACCAACCAGTGTATTACAACAATTAGAAGATAACAAGAATAAATTTATATCTATGAATGGTTTTCTTTCAACGACAAAAAGTAATGATGTAGCTAAGATGTTCGCTGGTGTGGAAACAAATAGAGCGGGTTATCAATCAGTCTTATTTGAAATGCATATCGATGGAGCAATTAATACCAAAAGACCCTACGCCGATATTTCAAGAGAAAGTGCAATTCCGGATGAAGAAGAAGTTCTTTTCTTTATGGGATTCGTTTGGCGTATCGAAGCAGTGGATAAACTATTCGATAATACATGGAAAGTCAAACTACAACTATCGACTGACATCAATTCGAATCTTACTAGAAGTTTCAATGAATTGAGCGATAAATGTACGTATTTTACATTGGGAAGGATCTTGCACGAACTCGGTGAATATAAAAATGCAATTAGCTTTTATGATCGTATGCTGAATATAACTTCAGAACTTTCAGAAAGAAAAACTTGTGCTGATATTCATTTTCACATTGCTATATCTGCGTTTGAGGATGGTTCATATACTCAAGCACTCGATAATCTTAAGAAAGCGGAGCTTCTTATTGAAGAGCTCGTTCAATCAGGTAATGGTGAGTCAGTTGAGCTCCGACCAATCTTGGCGGAAGATATGCATCTTTCACCAATGTGTATTATGATGAACAAAGGTTTGGTTTATCGAAAGAAAAGAGATTATAAAAATGCCAAACATTCATTCAATGAAGCTCTGAAAAAACAAGGCTCAAAAAATGACAAAGCTCGTGTACACTATAACCTCGGTGTGGTCCAATTTGAGCTAAGAATTTATGATGAAGCACGTAACAACTATCTCCAAGCACTTGAATTGGCTGAAAATCAAGCTCTTACAAGCGATATAAATCAAAGGCTAGAAACACTCAATCAAATATTATCTTCGAATGAAATCATGAAAAAAAAATTGTGAACAATTAAATGTAGCTTTTCTGTATCATATTATGTTTCAACGATTGAGATGTTTGGTCAATATAACTAGTATGTGATTCTTATCAATATGATGATCTCAAGTAAATACAAACATTATGATGCGTCATTTCAGTTATTGTTTCTGTTCTTCTTGCGTGAGCGAGTAGCACAGCCACACAAGAAAAACAGGTCTTTTTAACAAGCTTGGGTAATATGTCAGACGTGTGTGTTCAAAGAGTAACCGTCTCCCTGGATAATTTTATTATTCCTTTCATGAAAGGTTTAGTTTACGTTGTTTAGAGTATGACCAAATGGAGTAAAAAGACTAAAACTCGATTGCCGAAACAGTCCATGTCTTATCGTACTACTTCTCCAACTATAATTAATTATAAGTATGCATAAGAATATGCTGAAACAAAGCCTTGATTATTATACTACTTAAGATAACCACAAGCTTTTTCAAAACTATAAATATCTGGTTTCTCTTACGCTCATGTCATATATACAAGGATGTAGATGAGTGTGGGTGTGGAAGTGAAGGGTTACCACGTACAAATTTTGTATTTCGATTTTACGAGAAATCTTACCAAGTGGCAAGTATCTGTACAAATATGAACAACCATTACTGGTTGAGTGGGAGTGTGTGGGTGTGGGTTTGTATGTTGTTCTTCTCTAGACGCGCACTCACATTCAAATCCTACATCCCTGCCTGCTCGAATCGTTGTGCTGAATATTTGAATATTTAAATAACTGTAATGCAACTATTCAACCACTCAAGTATGCAACCATTCAAGTATTGAAGTATTCGGCTCAGTTATTCAAGCATGCAACTGTTTTCTTTTTCTGGATATAGCTGTTTATTGTTACGCTCGGAAGCGCTTATATAGGGATGAAATTAAATCTTAGCATTACAGCATCTAAGTATCTCAAGCGCATGTGTAACCAGCTCAGCTAATTGACGATAAGCTACCATACACGACTTTTCATAATATGGACAATAAATAATGGAAGAAAGACTGAAAAAAGTGGAATAATAAAGCAGAACTAAAGATGACGAAGAGAAAGAAAACAAGAAAAAAGCATGAGAAAAAGAGATATGTTAGATACAGAGATAGAAGAAAACAGGAGAAAAATAGTGAAGCAAGGGGAAGACGAATGCAAGTGTTGCATGCTTGAATAGTTGAGTTGAGCCCTTCCTTGCATCTACACGGACAGACAGGTAAGCTGAGTCCTTTACCCATACCTCCACCGAGAGAGATGTGTTGTGAGTCAGACACTGAAACCGAATCGAATCCGAATGAAGATGCTGTCGAATCGAATCTATTTGAACCGAGAGGTCTTCATTCGGTTTACGTCGGTGGATCAGTAACTAATCGAAAAAAACAAAAAGCAAGAATCAAGGACATGTTGAAATATATTGTGAGTGTGATAGTGTGTGGCTGTTCGTGCTCCTTTTAGGTGTCCTCTTGCATATCCACACCCACACCCACATTCCACACCGTCATAGCGACACCTTCTACTACTTTATAATTCACATATCACAATATCAACATGATAGTTTTTCAGCAAATATTTATCAAAAATAATGAATAAGAAACAGAAAGATATTGATATTGATATTAGTATATATTTCTCATCGAATAAGAGGTGCAAGGGTGATGTAAATAAAAAAGTTTTCAAAAGAACTAACAGCAGGTAATTTCTATAATTCTAATGATAACAAAGAAGTTCCTGCAACGATTTCTTCATTGTGTATTAATAAAATTTCTACCATCATTATTAATGCAGCTGACAAGAATGATGATATTGAACGATATGTTTCAAAACAATTAGCTAAGAAAAATGTTTCATTATTAAACCGAATGTTAACGAAACTATGGATTCCATTACTAAATTATATTTTTTTCAAAATTTGAAAAATGTGCCAGCACTCTTGAACCGCATATTCGAAACCGATTAAGGAGTTTATTTTAAGACTCCTTTAGGCTATAAACAGTAAAAGATATTCCCACGCATTCTAATTTTGTAAACCTAGACACTCTATTGTTACCTATGATGTTGACTATTCCTATGTAAAATGTTCAGAAGCATTACACGAACAGTTGAACAAAAGAATTATTCTGAATCATCATCATAAGACTAATAATGAAGTTTCTGCTATAATCTATATGCTGTTGAAATTCAAAAAATTTCATTTAGATTATATTATGTCAATAAATATTTTTTTCTTTTTTCCTTTACAATCACATTTGGCATACATCTTACGCAAGTTTTCTTTCGCAATAACTGCAAGAAAACTTACATATATAATAAACTGTTACTGAATTACTTCGAAACAAATTTAGGTTTTTTATTTTTATTTTTGCATGGATTGGTTTGAAAAAACATGCCATGGAAGCCTGTGTATAAAAATAAGAAAGAATTAAAAACTGAACGTTCATTAGTTCTTCTCTTGGGTGGTTCTATTTATGATGATAGTGCTGGTGTTCAAATTATTAATCGACGTCGTCGTGGAGACGAGCGTTTTCGTACAAAAAAAGACGTTCATTTAGAAGAACATCTATGGCAACGAGATTTTCATGCAATAACTGATTATTTCGAACGAACAAATGCTACTATTTGGCGTTGTGTTCCTACAAGTCTTCGTAGTTTTCGAAATGAAGCATTTAATTTAATAAATGAATTCTTTCAACTTGATAATAATAATATCAACGGTGAACGAAAAACATTTGTTCTTTATTGGTGTGGTCATGGAATCAATAATACAGGTAATTGGGGATTTTCATATGGTGGTGAAATAACTTGTCATGACATTATCAATGCTTGGCGTTCTCGTCCAATAGCCGAAGAATACAATGACATATCATCATTGACAATTATTGCTGATACATGTTATTCAGGTGCATGGATTGATGAATTTAAAGCTGAACAGATTCCCCGTCTCGCTTATCAAGCAGCATGTCGAGCTGATGAATCTGCTTATGTTTTTGATGATGGTAATATTCCAAGAAGTTTACTTATGCGTAAATTTATTATTGAACAAAAATATCCTATTGAATGGTATTTGTGGACATGTAGTGATCAACATCCCATGCATTTATGTGATTCTACTGAAATAGAACATGGTGAAGATTTTAGTGCTGGTCAACGCCGAACATTAGTTCATGGTGGTCCATATTATTTTTTTACTGTTGATCAACATTGGACATCAAATGGAAAAATGACAAATAAAGAACATAAAACTGAATTGAATAAACTAGCTAAATATGGTGTATTCATTGATAAGTTTTGAAATTTGATATTTTGATTGTTTATTTTGTTTTTTTTGCTTGCTCTTTGTAATATGAGTTTGAATTAAATCTTATCAAATGATTTATTCTTTCGTTGATTTATTTTTCTTTATAACATACACACAGACTTTCATTTTCGTTGAATGTAACTAGAAAAATGATGGTTAAACTTTATTTTATTCTTCTATTCATGTTGTTTACATCGTCTAATGGAAAACCAGTAAAAGGTACAACAAAAAAGACATCAAAGGAAACAGCACGTAAAGCACCAACAGTTAAAACAAATGTAGATGCATTGAAATATCTCGAAAAATTTGGTTATAATCAATGTGAGCGTCCTGGAAAGAAAAAAGATAAAGAACCATTGTGTCAATCAAGTTTTCAAACAATGATTGAACACTTTCAAACTGTTTTTCATTTACCTGTCACCGGTAAACTCGATGAAAAGACTATCAAATTGATGAACAGACCTCGGTGTAGTCTAGGAGATTATCCTATGGCTTATTCGGCTTTTCGACCTTGGTAATCATTAAAATTAATTAAAATTATCTATTTCCATTATTTTGTTTATTTATGTAGGCCTAATACAACATTAAAATGGAGATTAAACAATGAAATACCCAAATTTGGAAAAGAAAAAACACGAGCACTTATACAAGAAGCATTTAATGATTGGGCTCGTTATGCTCCATTAAAATTTCGTGAAGCAATTGGTGATGAAAAAGCTGAATTTAGTATTAGTCTTCATGGAGGTGATCATGATGATGGTTATCCATTTGATGGTGCAGGTGGTACACTTGCCCATGCTTTTTTTCCAACAGACGGAAAAGTACATTTTGATTTAACAGAAGAGTGGACTGATAAGTAAATAACATAAACATAAAAAATTTAAAAAGAAACTGGTTTTCTAAAATTAATTCTAAATAGATATGACGGATTTGGTTTCAATTTTCGTTTGGTTGCTTCACATGAAATAGGACATGCACTTGGTTTAGCACATTCATATGATCAAAAAGCATTAATGTATCCATTTTATCAATTAATTCAACCAAAAGATTTACTTCCAAAAGATGTATAAATTATCATACAAAAATATGTAAATAATTATTTTATTTTTATTCATATTAGGATCGAGATGGTATTCGTGCATTATATGGTGCAAATTCAAGTAATAAACCAACAACATTTGCATCTACTACACCTAAATCAACAACAACAAAAAAAACGACAACCTCTAAAGGTGGTAAGGATACCAAAACAACAACTAAAAAGCCAAAAACCACAACAGAACAAACACTATCACATGATCGATGTGCACGTTATCTTGATGCTGTATTTGGTGGTGGTCCAGATAAGTGGTTATATACACTTGATTATGATCATGTTTGGCGTTATCATCCTGATTTTGGTCGTTGGGATTCACGTGGAATACCAATAACTGAAGTATTTCAGGGTGCTGAAGCACATATGATGGCTGGTATTTTGTCTCCGAAAACGAAAAAAATCTATCTATTCAAAGGTTATCGCGTATGGCGATTCTCTTCTCCAAATTCACTTGATAGTGGTTTTCCTAAACGACTTTATGGTAGTGGTACTCCGTAAGTATTCATTGACATACTTGAATGAAATTTTTATCTAATTGATTTTATTAGATTTAATCCAATAGCTGCTCTTTATGAAAAAGATCATATTTGGCTTTTAAAAGGTGGTATACTCTTTAAATTTGATGAAGATGATCTTCGATATGAATTTGATCCACCACCACTACGTGTTGAAGAACAATTTCGTGGTGTTCCAAAAAATGTTCGAACAGCATTTACTTATGATAGAAAACATTATTTTTTTACTGAACCTGATCGAAATGTATATGTTTATAATACGATAACCGAACGTCTCGAACCCGGTTATCCAAAACCTATGACAACAGGATGGTTTGCTTGCAAAGAACAATAGAGTAGATGTCACCAGTTGTCATTTTATCTTAAATTATTTTTAATTATATTTAATTTAATTTAATCTAAATTAGTTTTTAAAATAAAAACAAAAATAAATAAATATAATATTTTTTATTGTGGCAATAGTTACAGTTGCTATGAAATGAAACATCTGTCATGTCGTTAAGCATTTAATGAAATACACAGTTAATATAATTATCAATACTTGAATTTTAAAGAGTCATATTGAAATTTTTAATAAACTCTAACAATAGAGAATATTTTAATTTTGATTTAATAAGATCTATTCAAGGTTACATATTACAAATTCTTCTTTCTTTTTCCCTTGTTTTCAAAATAAACAAGAGAAACGAAGTTGAGAAGTAAAAAAAAAATAACATTAACAACATGTCGTCAGACATCATTACATAAATTATAAAAGAATTTCTTTTTTAAAGATTCTTCACGTTTGATTGTCTTCAATGACTATAGCTTCATCATTTCATACAATGTCAAATGGTTCCGGTTCAACATCAACAAATCCATTTCTATTACCTAAAAATGATTTAACTATGGCTGATAGTCAATTAATTGATGTACTTTTACATGATCAAAATAATGAAAATAAAATTCAAATTGTTAATCGATGGTGTAAAAATTCACGCCATAATCGTTTATCAAATATAGTTGATGTTTCACAAAGATATGATATTTTATTATCACTTGTAAATACTCTTCAACAAACAACAAATACTGAATATCAATATAATTGTTTAAAATTTTTATCTGAACTTCAAACAAATATTCATCATTATGATCAACGAATTTATCTTCCAGGTTAATATTAAAACCAAATAAAAATAAATCTTTAATTTTAAGTTTGTTTCGTTTTTTTTTTCTCTTAGCAATTATTCAATGTTTTTCATCTACATCAAATGATGTTCAAATATTAACATCACAATTTTTAATTAAACAAATTAATACAACCGATAATATTCCAACATTTTTACATATATATATACATGATGGTTTAAAATCTCCAAATATTCGAATATGTATTAAATCTATTGAAATATTAACTGATTTATTAACTAAAACTCATAGTCATGAAAATATATCACCAATATTTGAAATACTTCTTCAATATTTACAAGATAATAAATTTCGTTTAAATTATAATAATATTCTTTTACGAGCAATTCAACATATTAAACGTATATTAGGTTTCGATTTATTAAATACTTATCTTGAATCATATTCACCAACATTAAAACGACTTTATAATACATATATATCTGAAGAAAATGATAATGATGAAGAAACACCAAGAGCATCACAACAAGTATCTCATATAAAAGATTCAAAAGGTATGATAATCTGAAATAAATTTCATTCTAATTCTTACTCTAGTGACTTCTTTCTTAGAAGAAATTATTAAAAGTAAAGCTAAACTGCAAAAACTTTTTTATAGAATTAACCTTGACTATTCAATGTTTGTGTCAATGCAATAATGAATTCAGTACTCTATCACAAAATGAATACTCTTAGACATTCATTTTAAGACATGTTTATATTCAAAGATATAAAAATTTTGAAATTGAAAAAATAATCTCGATTGATAAAAAATACGATCTCAATAGTTCTTTGATAAATAACAGCGATGGATTGAAAAAGGGCATCAGTCATTACTCTTATAAATTGACAGTTACGTTAAAAATAAACAAGTCTGAAGTACTCAAAATAAAATACTGGTGCAACTTCATTTTTAACAAGGACAATTTAAACGTCTGCCTTGAAGTTTTGAATGTTTTCTAAGAAAACTTGTCAGCGTCATTCCCTTTAGGGATAAAATATCAAATTCATATGTTTTTTTTTTAGTCTCATTATACTATTTCAAAATATGTTAAGTGAAAAATCTTTAGCAAACTATTGTTGTTGCTGTTGTCCAAGGATAATCGATCGTCAGAGAAAACAATCTGTCTGTCTTATTTACTTTTGCATTTTAAACAGAATTTTTTTTCTCTTTTACTGACACTCTATTCTTTGTTTGCATTGTTACTATTCGCTCGTTGTTTTTCATTTTTCTTAATTTAATACAATTATTATTTTTTTTTAACAATTGATTTGACTGAGGAAATAAATTTGTTAGCAATATCTATTATAACTATAATAGGTCTCAACACTATTATCTATCTCAATAGACTCAAAAATATTGACACTGATTATTTTGCAAAGCTAGAATTCATGCTATGTTTGTGTTGATCATATGATGCCTGTGACAAATCAATGCATCATTAGCGATTATATAAAATTTCATCTGCACTAGACTATTCCAGCCATTCAAGTTTCGGTGATACCTTTAAAATGTTCTAGAACAGTTTAAGTCTTGTTATTAATTCTATTCAGCACCTTTTTTCGCTAAAGAACTCTATGGGAAAGGAGTTTGGTACCTATTGTCCTCGGTTACTATGGAAACAGACTTTCTGTTTTTCATAAAAGACCATTCTAATTTTTCTTCTTGATGAACTTTCTAACTGTGATCGTCGTCTAGATCACTATTCTGTTTTAATAAAAGTTATTTATATTTGAACTGTATGAGCGCGAGTACGTTGCCTACCTATTTTTGAAAAAAATCTTACCATCTCAGACGATATCGTTTTGAAATCATCATCCGCTCACTAGAATTGTGGATCCGACACTATGTCAGATTGACCCAGTGACTCTGAATAAGCTATAATCATATCACTGTATTATTAAAAATGTTTATGTCTCGAGAAATGATGATAGATTAGAGGACTCCTGTCAGAATGCAATAGTACATTAAATATTAATTAAATGTTGTTTTTTGACAAGCGTATTGAAAATAAAAAAAGTGTAATAAATAATAATTGACAACATTAAGATTCTCTTGTATTTTTTTATCAAAATATTTTTCTTAAATCATCAAAACTTTATATAAAGTTTGTCTATGCTTAATATTTATATATTTAAAAATTAATAAAATTGTTATATATATATATAAAGACGTAGAATAAAATTTGGCGATTTGTTACTTTAACTGAAACTATCTTTTGCTTGTTTCAATTAGCAATCCATTATAAAAATTGTCAATGAAATAGTTCAAAACACCTTTTCCTTAATAAAAGACATTAGCGTAATCTCTGCGAAATTAAAATGTGAAACACAATGTACTCGTTGTTGCTAATCATAGAAAGATTGTAATAAGACGTTGTTGATATATATTCTTGAATTGTATATCAACTAAGACTGTCGTTATATCAGATCCGAGTATAGCTGATCGGGTTCAAAATTTTCGGACCCGGATCCGATCAAGTCCAGATCCAAGTCTGTTACCAACCCTACAGACTGTAGACACAGTAAATAAATATTGCTAAAGCGTGTGTCATAGTCTTTGATGAGACATTTCTAACGTGTTTGTCACGCCTGTGATGACTCCGTGTTAAACTATTTGTCACGTTTGTCTAGAAACTCAAATTTCTAAGTCTATACTTCAACATTCCCTTTTAGATTGTATTTCACAAAAAAATAGATTTTATCTATTATTTTGTTTTTCTAGGAACAAATGGATTCCGTCAGAATGGTAACAATCATTCTGATAACATGTTGTCAACGCAAACATCTATATTATCTGTTCAAAAAGAAAAGTCTGATGTATATTCTCTAATTGAAACTATACGTTCAAAATGGATGTCATCAAATGAAACAGATCGTATTGATTATTTAGATCGTTTGAAAATTTCATGTGATAAATATTATCAAATAATTTATTCACAATATTCTTCAACATCAGTAACAAATAATACACAATTTTATCAAATATTACATACATTTTTAACATCTATACTTGATCTGTTATCTTATGTAACAGCAACAAATCTTGATTTATCAATTAAAATAAAACTTGTTCTATCAACATGTCTTGCATGGCTTATTAAACATGCACAAGAAAATTATTGTAAAAAAAATTATAAAACAATATCTATAGTATTTAAAAATATTCTTTTTAATGGACAGTCAAATAATCGACAATTAGCAGTATGTTAAATGGTTTTTTTTTTTCTTCTTATCATTAGAAATAAAAATGCTTACTTTTTTCTTTTTTCATAATAGAAATTCAGTGTTAGTATTATACTTTTACTTGAAAGTTTTGTTCATCCACAATTAATTCTTAATGAATTAATCGATGATCATTTTCAATATTATAATTATCGTATACAACTTGAATTACTTGCTATTGTAACAGCAACATTTCTAAAAAATCGTCAACATAATTATGATAATATATCAAATTTAAATAAACATTTACTTCCTATGTTAATATCAAATCGTCGAGAATTACGACATGGAGCTATGGAATGTTTTACAGTTATATGTATTTATTTTAATGATTATAAACCATTAACATCAATTATAATTGAAAAAAATCAATCAATTAAATTAGTTTTATCATCAATTGAAAATTTATCACATGATGCATTAAATGCATTTCGTTTTCGTTTACAACGTAATTTACTTCCATCATTAACTGATGAAGGAAATATTACACCCGGTTTAGTATGTGATGCAACAACAGTGAATGATCTAGATGCAAAATTTATTTTACTTGCTAATAATAATAATAATAATGCAATTCAAACAGCACAATCTGAAACTAGCCATGAAACAAAATCAGTACAATCTTCATCATCAAAAATGCCGACTAATAATAATAATAAATTACTTCAATTAGCAATGCCTCTTGTTGAAAAAAAGACAAATACAAATGATACAGTAAGAACGATTTTTATATACGCATATGTATCGAAGAGATGTTGTCTGATGATGTTTATATCGATCATTGCTCATGATGAGTATTTATTTTTATTGGATTTGAAAAAAAAACGAATTCACTTGAAAGTTTATCTGTCAAGGTCTGTTTTAACCTTTGGTGACCTTCAAGATCCATTAGAATGTAGTATGATGTTGAAAAAAAAATAACTCTTCTGAATTCAATCGATATTAGCTAAAATTTTCTTCGATCTACAAGCTCATGCTGATATTTAATTTCTAATATTCTAGGTACTTACGAATTTTCCCAGCTGGTAATAGAACACGGTTATGTTTGTCTACCGTAATATTTTAGCAAACGAAATATTTTCGTAGATTGATTTAAACTATGACATTTCTTTTTCAAGACTAACCTAATTAAATATCTGTAAATGTTAAAGAAAGAATTTTAAATAGTTTCTTTTCAAGTGGATGTTTTCTATTGGTTATGAGAAATGAGTAGTGTTTGTCTTTTTTGATTCTTAATCACATATAGTTCGTTTTGTATCATACTTTTATAATTATGTCTTATCTTGAATCTAAAAGATCATATGTCAATACTTATACTCTCTTTGAATTGAATTTCGAGGCAACTGTAGTGGTCGAAAAATCAGCTGTTATACAGCTGATAACAGACTCGAATGAAATGACATTATCATTAATGGAAGTTTCATTAAAAAAAAAAAGGCAAAATACAAAATAACAAGAAACTAATTGAAAGCATTTTTTCTTTCTTTCTACCTACACTGCATAAAAAAACGACTACAATCATCATCATCATCATCATCATCAAGATCATCATCATCAAGAGCAAAGAAATGAGAACTTTAACAAACGGAGAGTAGAAGAGAATAAGAAAGAAGCGGAGAAATAAAGAACGAGGTCTGCATGTATATAAAATTGCACGAGAAATGATGATTGAAATTTTTGCTTTCTCTCTCTCTCTCTCTCTCTCTTTCAACGACTGTTGTTTTACGGAGACGACGTGCGCGCATGAACGAGTAAGAGTAACTAAAAGAACAAAGAAAAACAAATACTACAGTCTCCACCATCATCTCAAGAATTCTTTTATGTCTATTTTATTGTAACTATTGCCAATAGAAAAGTTGGCTTAACAAGTGTATGCATATATTATAAAAGATGCTTATGTTCGACGATGAAGATTTTCTACATTGGGCTAGAAGACCTAAATTATTGGTAAGCTTAATATAAGATATTGTTTAAACAAATAGTAAACATAAAGGTCATTTTCATTTTGATATGTGCACATGTACTTGAAAATTTTTTGTAAGTTTTCTACGTTTATTCAGAATACATGAAAAAAAAAAGAAAGTTTTTTTTTTCATTTATAACTCTGCATACATCTACAGTCAGCATTACATACGAAATTTGATATTCTTCTCTTTTTTTTGTTGTCGTTCTTTTTCTTTAACAATGGTATTGTTTTGTGGTTGAAATTATGACAATGGTTAATAAAGTATGTTTTAATATATATATATATATATATATAGATGATATTTATAAATAATGTCTTTCTTAGAAATTTCTAAAATGTTGTATAAAATACGACAAAAAAAAGTCAATGATTTGAAAATGTTAGATATTGCAAAATTTTCCTTTGATTCTTTTATTAGATCTAGACATATTGTTCGAAATATTGAAGAAAAAAATATTAACATTTACAATTACATTTTATTTATTGTAACTGTCATGAATTCATGTCAATCTCTGTTTGACGTCATATTCTTGAGTTTGTAGAAAAACTTATTCAAATCTCATTCTTTCGGCAAAATAACTTTTGACTATTATATAAAATATAATTATTAATGCTCGTTAGACTCTCTCATAAACTATGACAGACATAATTTTATCAATTACGTTCCATCACTTATTCTCTTTTGAATCCTATAAGCACTCTACTGACAGTTTTATTTTAACATATTCTAAATATTTAGGTAATGCGAAGTCGTGAAATACCTCCATTGAAACCACCTAATGTTGATCTTGATTCACATCGATATACCAATAATAATCATGCGTATGAAGCAGCTATTAATCGTAAGTTATTGTGATTGTCGTCTCTTTTTTTTTTCATCTGTTGTTGATCATACTTGATTGTTTTTGGCCTGAATATCTTTTATTACCCTCATTGCACATCAGGTCAGCAACGTCACCGACTAAGTCGACGATTGAATTTGTCGACAAAACGTCAAACAGCGATTGGTAGCGTAGAAAAAGCATTAGTTTCCGCTTTTGTGAATTCTTTTCTTTTCTTTTCTTTTTTTTTGTCTTCTTAATATTTATTATTTGAGCTCACAATTTAGTAGTACAACTAACCGAGTGCATTATAACATTTTTAAAATGAAAATAATTACTTTTTTTTAGAGCTCTTGGACAACTATATTAATATATATATATATATGTATATACATATATATTTATGTCTCATGCTGATTCTTTTTTTTTTCTTGACAATACGAAACTCAATTGAAAGAAAAAAAAAAAGAAAAAAAGTTGATATGATAATAATAGAAAAAGTATATTTCTGATTAACTTTTCTTTTTTTTGTGATTTTATTTAGTTAAAGTAGATATATCTTTGTTTTTTTTCAAAACAATAGCATAGACAATTGTTTGAATTTTTACTATTAATTGAACAAAAGAGAAAAAAAACCACCGTGTGATTGTAATGATAGGCAAACAAAATTTTTCGGATTTTATATTTTAGCAACAGTTATTACAACTGTGACTTCCGGTGGACCACCGTTTGATTTTACTATAACTGGTAATACTAATTATCGTCCATTGACATTAACAGAAAGAGTATTTGGAGATGATTGGGCAAAAAAATTGTCAACAGCAAATAGTCATCGAAAAGAATCAACAAACACAGTTCAACAACAAGGTTTTTTTAAAATTCTGTTTTCAATATTAATCAAACTAACATTAATAGTTTGAAAAAAAAATAATATCTATCGAATACATTTGTTGATTCAGTAAACAGATTAAAATATTAAACATTAAGGTGCTACACTAAAGTCACTGAACGCTTAGAAAAGATTTAAGAAATTATTTATTATGTTCTTTTTTACTTCACGGCTTGTGTGCTCTGAAAATTTAGAATAAATATTATAAATAATTTATTATTTCTATAGAAAATCAGCATAACAATAATTTATTACAATTTCGTCCTGCAATACCACATCGTCCAGCTATTGGTCGATTTCCTGCATCCCATAATATCTTAGTCACATCACAAATTCATAATCATAACGATCAAAAGCTACCTGCACGTCATTTTGATTCAAATACTGATCATGATGAAGGTATTGATAGTGCAATAGATTCACGTTCTTTATCAAATAAGACAACACACGAAAGTATACATCAGGTAAACTATAATTCATAGTTTTTTATTTTATTTAATCAAAAAGAAAACACAAAAAATATTAATTTAGAACAATGGTCAACAATCGAAAAAACCTATTCGATCAGTACATAGTAGTTCAACAAGACGTAAAGTTAATCGTTTATTTAATAATGGTACTGATATAGAATCAACATCAGCACGAACTTTAACACCAGAAAATAGCAACGAAAGTGGAATTTATTCACAATCAGGACGCGATACTGAATATAATTCTAATAGTTCTACAAGGTATAATATAAAATCAATAAATATTATTTGATTTGATTTTATTCTATTGTCTTAGATCATTTGGTAAAGATCAATTGTTTTCTACTAAACCACGTCTTGCTCGTTCTGGTTCAAAACCTAAACTTGATAAATCACAAGTACTACCTTCTGATCCATTATCAGGACAACATTCATTCAATGATAAAACTCGTCGATCGAATAATTCCAATGTTGAAGTAGTTGGTCGAGCTTATACAGATGAAAAACATCCAACTAGAAGATTATCAAATGAATCTAATGACGATAAACAACAACAACCAATTGTGAATAAACCTCGAGCAAAAATTATTAAAGGTAATCAAATGTTTTATCATATGTAGTTTTTACAAATAATCACTTGCATAAAGGAATACTGAAAGAACTCGATGATATTCAAGTTTTTTCGATGGTGAAATTCAATACGATGCTTCAAATCTCGATTGTTGGAAAAATCGATATTTTCCATAAAATGAATAATCATTTCTAAGATTCTAATTCTTAGTTACAGGAAAGATGGCGGACGCTTCTCCTCCCCCATTCACAGTGAACAACCAGACGAAAACATCAATGTCTGAGATATGAACCTATGTTGTAACAAGCATTAAGGCTGCTAGGTATTTACATTTAACTGTATCTGTATTCTGATTGTAACTGACTAATTGTCTGTAGAAGTTCTAATTATATGTATTAGATATTATAAAGTTATTTAGCTTTATATCTGTACTTTATGCTATAGGCATTTTGAAGTTGTTCAAGTTCCTTCTGCTTCAATAAGACTGAGCATCTACTGGATTTTCGCGAGACTCTTATTTGAACGTTAATTTACGATTAGAGAGAGCGTGTCGTCAATCAACGTTGGTGGATGTACAAAGATGTGGATCTAAGCCTTTCTAGCCATTCGACGTCTCAAATATAACCTTCAATGCAGATGCTTTCAGAGTGACTTTTATAATAACCCACACTCATCTTAGGATAGAAACGATAATAACAAAATCTGAAACATTTGTAAACAAACTATTTTCGTTGAGATTTGTCTCTTAATGAAAAACATTGAAAGAATTCGATAGAATAAATAGAATTCTGCAGTAAACATTTAGTGTGGGTATAGATTCGAACTTTCGCTACATCCATAAACGTTGAAATTCGAAAGAGTTGCTGGTTGGATTTACATCATTTTTATCGAATACTATTGATCGATTGCTTCATTATAAATTATTACTTTTATTGGTAGCTAACTTCGTGCCTTCATTTTAATTAGGAATAATGCGTAATTTGAAAAAAAAGATCGAAGGAAATAGTTATCTATTTATAGATAAAGTAGAAACAAAATACTGGAAGCTATCTTGTATAATATAGATGATGAGATCAAGCTAAAAAGCACTGTAATTTTAGAGTAATCAACTATATGACAGTACAAAAAAAACAACGGTGTCAGTTGCATGTCTAATTTGTACTTGAGAAGCATCTGATCAAATATTCAAAAGAAAAATATAGGTCGAATATAATTCATCTTTCTTTTGTCAAACAAAAACTAAAAGAAGCGTAAAAGTAGAAAACAAGATTTTTTTTCTAAACAACTACAAATCTCTAAGCGAATATTAATTTTATTTTATTTGATCAATCGTATAATATATCAAAGATATAGAGTATTTGTGTAAAAAAATGTTTTTAAATTGATTATTTCGTAAATTTGCTTTTTCCTCTTTGTAAGACTTGCACTTGCAACTTTTCTTTTTTCTTAATAATAAGCTTTACATTTTTTCTACTAGTCACATCTAACATATCATAAAAACTCATGTTTTATGTAAGATTTCTTTGTTTTTATAATAACTTATTATTATCTTGTTTTTAATCAAAAACTATGGAAAATCTTTTTCATCCGCTAAACAAGAAGAAGAAGAAAAAGAAAAAAGAAAGTGTCTATTTTTTTTTCTTAGCTTTACTTTTTCTAATTGGATTCATTTTTACTTTGGAAAAATGAAACAAAGTATAAAACATTTTTAAACAATAGATATATCCTTATATATTCAAATCACTGTTTTTTCATTCAGGATCTGTAGTCGCCAATCCTTCAAATACAACAACACAAGCAAACATTAATATTGATGATGATTCTAATCATGATGATGGTCAAGATATTGGAGTTATAGGAAAAGGTAAATTAAAAAATAAACGAATAATATTATTATTGATATAGATATATATTTTAATATTTAAGCTGTTCCTATGCCTTTACGTACAAATGCTGAAACAGATATAATTCGAGTGCAAAATAATAATGCAATCAATAATAAATTAAACAAACAAAGTGATAATCTCGATACAATGTCCGATGAATTCGATAGTGATTCGAAAGAAAATGACAATGTAAGTTTATTTATAATAAGTGAAAATTTAAACAAAAAAAAAACCAATATTGTAATTCGTCCGATGTCCAGCTGATTTAGAGTAGATTAATCATTCATTTAGTTTTTGAATTATTTTCGTATATTTATAGCTATCGAGTTTAATATTCTTCAATAGACATTTACGAAAAACCTTTTTTTTTTCAGGAATATAGAACAAATTTAAATCGTAATCATTGTTAGTAAAATTCTTATAGGATTCACATATAAAATAAAATGTAACTGCTGCTGATGGTAATCAACGAGAGATTGTTTTAGTCTATCTATTTTGGAATACATTTTTTTATAACTTATCCTGCAAAAATGTAATTAGGAAGTAATTCATATATTATAGCGAGATGCAATTGTTGAAGACTCGTGCAAAGGTTCTGCATTAATTTTGTTATGAGTATAGCGTGACCACAAATCATTATTGAGATCTGACTAGTTTTCTTATTTAAAAAGGACAAAGTCTCTATCGCAGATCCACCCATAAACATTTCGTTCAAAACACTTACCAAAGGCGAAAAAATAGTCTATACGCTTTGGCAATTCAGAAGAAAGTCTGCATCTATTAAAAAGTTGGTCCTATCTTCTGTCACTTGTAACGCTACCAAGGGACACTGTAAATATATAAAAAAAAATTTTCAACTGATCAATTGAGTTCGAAATCGACATTTTTCTCAGGACTTTTGCTAACGAAAAGTGTTTACAGCTAATAAGTGATTTCGAGTAGTGTCACATATCCAAGATTTTGGAGATGCCACCGCATCTCCCGCTAGAGATGCCGCATCTCCAGCGGGAGACGTGGCACCCACATTCGAGAGATGAGGTCATTCACCACTGGAGATGTAAGATCTCCTTTAGAGAGACGCATCCCCCACACCCACACTTGCATCTCTCGCGCGAGATGCGGCATTTCCCGCAGGAGATGTGGTGGCATCTCCAAAATCTTGGATATATGACACTGCTGGTGATTTCGGATGAAATCCCATATTTGATATCTAATTATACTTTGATGGGTCCTCTACAAAAACTCATGCTATAATAGTAGGCACAATACGAAACTCAAGGTTTTAATAAAACTGTTTTCTATAGAACATGCAATAATTTCGAAAGCTGAGTGTACAACAAATCGATCACATATTTTTCTCCTTACTAATTATTGTGTAAAGTTCGAAAACATTGTTTATCCTTCGATAAGCATTCTGAACGAAATATGTTTACACAAATTTGTAATAGAGACTTTGCTGTTTCTAACAAGAAAATTATCAATCGATTAGAGTTCGGCAGTTTCATTTTATTTTTTTCTTCATTCTTAGTAATCAGACCCATGACTCGAGTCTCAGTTTCAGGTAGTTTTGGACACGCTGCACTCTATTATAGGGTTCTATTATAATACCATAATAGCAGATTTTGATTACTTGATTTTGTGAAGAAGTATTTTCTTTCTATGATAGGACTTTCAGAAATACAAAAGAATCTATTGAGTTTAACTTGTTTAAAGCGGAAGTATTTCAACTTCATTCGATAGACAAAAAAAATCCTCTCATTTCTTTTTTTTTTTTGTTTTGTATAGATTGTTAACATGGGTCAATCCCTATCAGCATCATTTCGTTTACGTGTTCAACAAAAAACTCAAGAAAAAATTGAACAAAAAGAACGTCGTCGACAAGATCGAGAAAATCGTTCTCGTCAACAAGAAATAAATAATAATAGTGATACTCCATATGATAATGATATTCCTATATCATCAACATCAACAAGTCGATATTCATCTCAACCTGATCTTACAACACTTAATAATGATATACAACCAACACCACGACGACAAATTGATCCAAATATTAATTCAATTTTACCTAATTTTCCATCACAACATCGTTTTCGTGTTTCAAAAAACTTGTATGAAATCAAATTATTTATTAATTTTTCTAAATATATATATATACATTCTTTATATTTATTTTAGTATGGCTCGTTCACAAACATTTAATAATCGACGTGATATACCAGCAAATGGACAACATATAGCATTGAATCGTCCATTATCTGAAGATCGTATAGTAGACCAAATAAGAAATCCTGATCATGTCTATCGAGAAGCAATGGAATCAATATCAAACGATGATTGGGAACAAAAATGTTCTGGTCTTAATTTACTTCAAATTCTTATTGCACAATATCCTGATACAATAACACAAAATTTACATCAAGTTGTTTTAATTCTTATTCAAGAAGTTAGTTTATTTTGTTTTTATTTGATCAAAACAAAATAGAAAATAAAATTTTATTTTCAAGGTAAAAAATCTTCGATCACAAGTTGCTCGTTTTGCTTTATCAACATTTTGTGATATGTTTAAATATTTAAAACGTAATATGGATATTGAACTTGATATAACTGTTAAAGCAATCATACAAAAAAGTGCAGAAAGTAATGAATTTTTCAGATCCGATGCTGAAAAATGTCTTCAAATGATGGTGGATAATGTTACACTTCAAAAAGCATTACAAGCATTAATAGCCGGTGGAGCAAGGTAAATTTAAATATTTATCATTAATATTCACAATAAATAGAATCATACTTATATAGTTAGATATCGAATTGTTACACTGGTCGAAGAGAAGATCAGTGTGACATAGAAAAATTGAAAAGAGAAATATCATATGTCAATGATTTCGGTGTAGAGTCAACCACTGGATTCCTCCCATGAAGTTTCTACCGTTTTTGCGACTCATATTTCATGACTTGAGATCGAAAAGTTCAACTCACAAAACATTCTTTGTTTTTGGCATGATATTAATATTGTAACATTGATTGTACACAAGTTCAGAGATAAGGAATGAAAGAAATTCTGATCTTATTGTTTTCGTTTAGCAACAGTAAACAATAAATCGTTTAAATATGTCATTACATTTTAAAGCAATCATAATAAATGTTTACCAGGATTATAAATACAATGCTGAGCGGGACTTGTTTTAGCTTGTGCATGTGAGTCTGAGTGAAGAGAGCAAAACTATCCACACCTTTTTTTTGAGTTCCAGTACTCCTATCTTATGACCTTTCTACGACCAACTTGGATACCTATGCCCCAAACTACTTATTGACGATCATATTTGTCGTATTTCTAGTTAAATCCCAAAATGTTGCAGAATTCTACTTGAATTTTGACATTGCAGTTCGTTGTACACTTTCCCGCAGGATATCCGGAAGATCATTTGTTAGAAAGTTTTTATTCATAGATCAGCAACTTCTTGACACCCTTGAAATCCAGTTGTAGAACATTTGCCGCTAATCTTTTTTCGTAAAATCAGTAATTTGATCCCCAGTATCGTTATTTATTGACCAAAATAGAAATATTCTTTGTTTTTTATAAAAACGATCAGCGATAAAAACTCTATACGATAAGACATATGAAAGAGCTTTCAGATAAATTTGTAGTTTTATAATTGATTACTCATAGAAGTATCCTTTCAAAAATTAATTATAGTCGCCTAAATGTTTGAACAATTTTCTTTGTGAAAATATAGAAAAGAATCCTTTGAAGCAGTCATAGTAAAGAAAGCGAAATTCCGCCTGCTATTTTTGATAAATGGAAGGTTTCCCTTTCGGACAGTGCAGGTCGTAACGTATGTGAACAATGTACCTGTGATTAGCAACAACAGCTACATCTTGTTTCCCATATTCATCACTAATTATCGATAAGAACGATTATACAATGAAAGTCATTCATGTTAGAATAATCAAATCGGATATCAATGAAATTTTTACTTTAATCCTTCAATGGAGATATTAGTTCTATCTTTTTATACTTATGGATGTAATAATAATCGTCTTTGTTTTCATACGAATTGAATAGATTGAATATTTATCTTTCAGTTAAGAAATTAATATATAATTATAATTTCTAGTCATCGTAATCCAGCTGCAAGAAAAACATCGGCGAAATGCATTTATCTTGTTTGTGAAAAATTAGGTCCAACGAAAATTTTAAGTGGTACTCGAGATATAACTGAACGTGTGTTACAAGTTGCTGCTACATTTGCATCTGATGGACCACCAGAAATTAGGTATGTTAATATTCAATAAGACAAAAGAACAGATACAAATATGAATTTTATTTTAGATGGTATGGTAAAAAAATCTATTATATGTTAATGCCATATGATGAACTTGATTCAATGATGAAACACTTTCTTAATCCAACTGTTTATACAAATATGTGTGAAATTCTTGATAATATTCGAGCTAAAGTAAAATTTTTTACTATAGAAAAAGATTTTTGTTTAATTTTTCATTGAATAGGGAGGTGTTGGTGAAACTCCAAGTGAATCAGCAAGAAATAATGGTCGACGAGCTTTGTCAAATGATAAATTAGGTTCAAATGGGTAAGAAATAGAAATTCTTTTTCTTTTTGAGATAGAAAAACAAAAAACTAAACATTATTTTAGAAATTTAACAAATCAATTTTCATCAACACGTAAAATAAATACAGCTGATCAAGCAGAACAAGTTCGAGATTTAACAAAACAAATGCGTAGTTCAGATTTTCGTGAACGTTTAAATGGTATTGAAGAATTTCAAAAGTTATGCGAACTTGAAACTGATACAGCTATACAATCACTTGTACAAATATTTGATGGTTTTAATGATTGTTTAGCTGATATGAATTCTAAAGTTGTACTTAAAGCATTAAATACAATGCATCAAGTTATACCTATATTAGGAGATGCTTTATCAAGTGTTATTAATTCAGCATTACCTCTTGTTGCACAAAATATTGCATCAAAAAATCGAGAAATATCACAACTTGCATCGGATATTATTGATACGGCTATTGAATATATTGGTATGAAAAAAAATATCTTTGAAAAGAATTAAAATTTGTATTTTATTTCCTTCTCTTCGTTATAGATTGTGGTGTATTAATACAACCATTATGTACACTAAGTCAAAATAGCAATCTTCGTATTCGACCTGAAATTGTTCTCAAATTAGCTAGTGAGTTAAAATAGTTTAGGCTGAGATTGTTAACATAGATAGAGAAGCTCAAGTATGGAGATATGTGTCCAAGGGAAAAGATTTCAAAGAAAGGTTTTAATTGGGTCGTTCGAAATGCATTAAGACTTCTATCGAACTTTGTCCGATCGGTTTGAAAATCTTTTGGAGATATCTGAGTTTCAGCCTGATCGGTTGTACTCTCTTCAAAAATTAGAAGTAGTTAAAAAAGAAGAGGAATACTCTTCATTGTAATTCAAGCTTCCTATACAAAGTAATCAGTATCTATATGTATGAAGACTATGACCTACAAAAGTTTTGAAGAATTTGATAAAAAAGGTTATGATCAAGTTTCATCGTACACTAATGAAATTCAGCAGAATATTCTACTTATTTCATTTGATATCTCGATGAACTTTTGAATAGAGATTATTTTATCTAAAAATTTTCTGATAGAATTTTATTAAATATGAAGTCACTATGACCGTCGTGGTTACCTATTCTTAAGACTCTATACTGAAATGTATGTATTATTGCCGTGAGAATAATTTTGTGTACAACATGTTGTGCCTTTCATTAGTAGAGATTCTGTAGAACCAAGTCTTTTTTGGTTTCAGTTTAGAGAAACCTATTCGAATTAGGTCTAAAAAGGTTTTTCATTGCTCGTTTTTGGATGTATTTAGTCGACGACTATGGTTGTGCTAACAGTGAAGACGGTGAACACATGATAAAATTATGCTAATTTTAAATTCATTTTGAATTTTTTCGGTTGAGGAAAGTCTATTTCAAGAAAATAACTGAATTTTATAAAACATAACTAAGTAAATCTTGTTTTTGGAACGAGAAAATCGAACTCAAGATTTGAACTAAGAATAGCTGATATCTTAGGATGTTTTGACCCTAGCACCATATTTTATTTGAGTAAAGTTAAATAATTTTTTATTCTCACAATAATCAGCACAACGAGCTCTACAATATTCTATAGACGAAAAAATTTTCTGAGAACCTTATATTTTTTGCGATTGACTACCCATGGAAGCATCCATAAAAAATACGAATCACAAGCATTTTATCTTTGATAGATAAATTTTTTTCATGCGTTTACTGTTCTCACTATTTGGTTTTTACGTAGATAAGTGTGAGATACTTAATTTGATTTCAACGGAAAAATAATAATCGAAAAATTTATTTTAATCTCTTAGATCTTGTACCTCGCGTATGTCAACGTAAACAAAAACAAGTTGAAATTCATCTATTACCAACTTATTGGAAATTATTATCTTTATTACGTGGTCAAAATTCTACTACAATATCAACATCAGCAAGTGGTTCTAATAGTTTAAATTCATCAATACATGTATTAACAATGGCACTTTATACAGAACTCGGTTCTGTATTAATTGAAAAAGCAAGTTCTAGTTCATTAGTAACACCACAAAATTTACAACTACTTCGTGAACTTTGCACAAATATCAGTACTGAATGATTTTTCTCAATAGTTTATTTTCTTTTACGATTGAAATACATTCCTAGCTTCTTCATTTCTGATTTGTGTTCGTTTATTTATATAGACGTAGCTCAAGCAATCAGTTTTTTTCTTGTTATTGAAAAGAAAAAACAGTGACACACATGTTTTGTCATAAAAAGAAAAAAAAAAGATTTTCATTTATTAATAAACGCTTCTTTTTCTCTGTGATGATGATTGTTAATTTTTTTTTTTTTTTTTTTTTTTTTTTTCTTTCGTGCACCTTCTCATGCTATGTTTTTTAAAAAAAAAAAAAAAAAAAAAAAAGAAAGAAAGAAAGCAAGAGAAATGATAGTTTTGTGTATGTGATTTTATTTGATCGAGGGATGAATTAAATGAAAAAATATATTAGTTTATGATTTAATACATATACAATTAAATAATGACAAAATTGGACCATTACGTTGTTTTTTTATTGTTGATATATCATTGATTTGAACAAAGAAAAGTATACGAAATGTTGTTTTACTATTTTCATAGATTTCTGGAACTAATTCAGTGTGTGGATCAAATGGAATTAGATTCAGAAGTGAATCAAATGATTGTTTCATAAGAGTATTATTAATAATATGATTGTATAGATCTTTATGAATTTCTAAACAACGTTCTTTAAGTCTATCTAACATTGGAGATATGAGATCTAGGTTTTCAATACAACCAAAGTTAAATATACAAAAATTTCCTTGAATAATTGAAAATTTTAAAGCCGAAAGAAGATTTGTACTAAATGGATCGAATAATTCAACAAATGGACCACTATTTGAATAACGAAATAAAGCTGTTGCATTACCTTGTTCAGATAAAATTAATGGACATTTTTTATTATCAAATGGAAGTTTTGAAAGAATAGTTTTCGGTTGAATTTCTTGTAATTCAACTTCTTTCATAAAACTGTTGTTAGACATTGTTAAATTAAGAGAATGAAATGTTTTATAAGAATCGACTAACAACCTTGGTAAATGTATATGTATATATATGTAGTACAAATGATCGTATGGGTAAGTTTTTGTTAAGTATATTATTACACATGCAACTGATTAATTGTTGCCATTGGTTGAGAAAGAAAAACAACAGAGCGCAAAATTTTATAAATTGGCATGTATGACAGGAAAGCAATTGTTGAAGGTGACTCTCAACTCTTTTTCCTTGTTTTTCAAGTCATTATTTTTCTTCTTGCTTACTTTTTAACAAAGTTTATTAACAGTTGATGAAGAGAAAAAAACAAAGATGTAGAAACAAAATCAATGATCCTTCAATTTCGAGAAAAATAGTAGAATAATTGATTTCATCTAAAATTAAATCGTTCGATTCTAAATCGGTATTTATCAAATATTTTTGAAGAGTGCCATCAATATGTTTAATACAACAAGAAGTTATTATCACGTTACTTATAATTGATATTCTTCATATATATTGAGAGATACAAATTCTTTTTGGTTTTTTTTATCAATCAAGAAAATCAAATTGAAACATCCCCCCTAGGAAAGAGGATGAACAGCTATTTTTGAACTTTTCTGAAGGCAATACAAAAGATAAGGGAAAAAACCAAGAAGTTTCACTTCCACTCGAAAACAAATTTCAAAAACAAAAGAATTATAATTAAATGAAAGATATATTTAAAATCAAGAATAACAAGATTCAAAATGCAGCTCAAATTTTTGAGCTCAATTTTTAAGTGAACTCTTGGCGAATTTTTTTATTTTTCTTCATCATCTGACCGAATTTCAATCCGATATCATATCAATCAATAATTATCAATATCTTGAGAGTTTGAGTCTTATCTCCAATCACATCTACACTCACATCCTCAAGAGCTAAGAAATCGGAGTCAGCTGTATCGTCAAATCAACGGACATCAGGAATTGTGATACGTAGAATAGTGAACATAATTTTGTTGAATTATTTTGAATTGAATGTATGCTCTGGTTGACGACAATATATAAATAAATTTCAAGTTCATGAAACTAGAAACTATGCACAAACTATCAATCACATACAACCAACTCTTCTGTGAGCCCTCTAACAATACTCAACTACTTACTAATCAGAAAGTTAACTAAATCAATTATACTCGTGTGCAATCATAATAATTGAGGTGCCATTGAAAATACCAAACTGTCGAATATATTTTCAATTTCTATTAACGATGTTATCATTGCTACTGCCGAAACTCGTTGCCATTATTCTGAACAACAAGCCTTCTCACTTTAATATCGTCATTTTATGGTGGAACGGATTGGGAACGAGCGGAACTTCATATAGAATTTAGTTAGGATAATGGTTATGTTTGACTAACGATGATTAAACTATTACACTTTAAAATTAGTTTTAAGCAAATATAATAGTAATCATCTGTAGCATCATTTTCAGTTTCTTTTTAGTTATCTCTGATGATTCACCAAAATAATTATTGTTTATGCAATTTTCCATTAGTTCCATGGTAATTACAGATGTAAAAGTCTCGCATGGTAAATTATATTTTTCTTATCAACTACCATCCTTTAGTCGCTAATATTTTCAATAACATGTTGTTATAATAAATCAATAAATGAGAAAAAATTCTATTATACAAGAGTACAACTTAAGGGAATTATAATGATATAAATTGATTCCATAGTAGTCAGAATTTCCTGACTTTAGATTGTATGTAATTGCTTGCTTAATAGTTAATAGTTATTTACAGCGTCATGTTTTGTTCATTAGCAAATTTCACGAGTTACATAATGATACTCTCTTAGTCTATTGTATCAGTGAGAATTCATTTACTTTACTTTTATTATATTCATCAGATCTAAATTACTAATAACTATTTATTTAAGTTTCATCAATGCATCTGTATATAGATCAAATAGACAATGAACTGAACTTGATCGTTTTGCAATAGTCATAGCTGTTTCATTTAATTTATTTTGAATATTTACATTAATAAATGGATGCATAAGAAGAAGTTGAATTATTTGACGATTATTATTTTGTGATGCAGCTAAATGCAATGGTGTTTGTCCACCATTTGTTTGAGCATTTATATCAATACCATTTTGTAATAATAATGATCCAATTTCATAATTATTCCAAAAAGCTGCACAATGTAATGCATTCCATTTATCATTTGTTAATGCATGAATATCTGCACCGGATTCAAGTAAATATTCACAAATTTTTAAATGATTACCATTTGCTGAACGATGTAATGCTGTATAACCATCAGAATCGCGTGCATTAAGAAGTGATCTATCTTGATTAATATATTGTTGAACACGTAAAAGATCACCTTCTTCAACTGCTGTTAATAGACCTTTAACAGGATCACGACGTATATCTTTTTTTGACCAATGTTCAATGTCATTTTCATCTTGTTCCCAATAACTTTGCCATTTTGATGGTTCACCATTTTTCTTTTCGATAATTTCATCAAAAACAATTGTACTTAATTTATTGATATATTCTAATCGTTCATCTTCATCCATACCTAAAAAAAAACAGGTTTTTTTTATTGAATTAAACTCATAAATTTTTATACATCGTCTTCTAAGAGAAAACTAAAAGAAGCTCTGATAATAACAAGTATAATTTCAACAGGTAGAAGCGTTCAAGAATATTAGACATGAATCTTGTGAGATAAAAAATCAATGTGGGTATCTCATTCCATTAGATTGATAGATTTATACAATGTATCAAATTTTTATACAAATGTGAAAATTCTAGAACGATAAATAGCAATATCTTCGTTGTGAAGCAGACTTAGGCAACGTTATGGAGGAAATATTGGGTTCTACATTGTTAATGGCTTGAAGTAGTAGTTCTTTTTAACAAGTAAAGAAAAACTGTATGGGACACTAGAATTAGATAAACAGAAAGCTATCGAAAGTTTTATTTGTTTTGAACATTGCTGTTTTACTATTATTCTACGTTTCATTAAAGTAGATTCAAAAATCTTCTTTCAAGAGTTTAAATAAAATAAAAACCAATGTTGACATGTTTATTCAACTGCACCCTTTTTTCGATAATAGTTGTGAGTATTTTCTTTTGAACCGTATTAGGTGCATACAGTCTAAAATATGAGTTGATAGTAAGCAGCATTGACTGTATTTCATCCGAGTGGTATAGAAAGATTTCACCTTCTGTTCTCTATTCTTAAATTCTCAGAGAAGATCTTATAAAGACTGTCGAGCCTACTTCAGATTTAAAACGTTTCATCACCTTTAGTCTAATCTACAATAAGTCGGGAATTTATATTATCAATAACTTTCTTTTAGTGAAAGATTTGAAAATAAAGAAATTTTTTCAGATACGCGACGGATTCGGAAAACTCTTGTATGGAAATCATATCAAATTAATACTCATTTCTTTAATGACGAATTATTGAAAAGTGGAAATGTTTGTTCATTTTTCAGTCGTTTAAAGGAGTGTGCAGAAATGTTACAATTATGAATCAACCTTTTACTGATAAATAAGAATCAAGAGTTTCAGAAATGACCGAGTTCACTTTGCAACTCTTTTTTTTTCATGAACATCGAGAAAATTGACACTGTTTACCTTACCAACCGTTGTCAAATGACTTTAGACAAATATTTACTGTTCCATTAGCTGTATTTGAAATAATTTTCGCTTGACAAAAGTTTAGTTTATAACAATTAAACAGGAAATCCTAAAAGAATTTTCAAACGTTTGTAGACTCATTTAAAAGGCTAAATATTTTTTTTTTGGATGATAAAATCATTGCTGCGTAAATCTAGACAAAGATCCTTTTGTTTTATCCCAAGATAGTATCTATTTTCTATAGACTAAAAACTTATCAATATCTAATTTTACTGATAAGACATATTTATTACTTATCCTGAACCATATCCCTCGAAGATGTTCATAATATTCGATATCTTGTTCATTCCTTTGAAATCATTTAATTGAACTATAAATTATAGTATTTTACATTCAAATAAATGAATATACCTTCCATTTCTTTCTGTAATTTTTTTTCCATATCATCACCCGATTGATTATTCGTCATCATGAAAATATAAATAATAAATATACAATTAAGCGCGTATGTTGCGGGTTGAGATAATCTACAGACACTTTTTCGTCATTGCATTGGAAGATTGCAAGTAGCCTATCTCTCTGCACTAGAACAGGGGGCGTTGAATAACAGACTATTTCAGACATTTGTATATTTGCTCATATTTGAAGCAAGTAAAAAGAATTTAAACATTTTTTCTACAATAGTTTTGATTTAATTTGACATGATTTAACTCTTATCACAAACAATACGATATTACAAATGAAATGATACATACCATCTCGTGTGAAAATTTTTATTAAATTACTGAACAACTAAATAACATTGAACTCGGTTTTGCATATATAAATGAATTATATGATTTGGTAGTTCTTGCCAGAATAAAAATTAAATAACGAGTTGCAAGTTATTCAGTTTGATTTTCTACGATGGAAATCTTCAATTTGAATTAATTCAATATAAAAAAAAATCATTTTTTTTCAAGAAATTATACAGGATATTAGGTAAATTTCAACAGTCGATCCATTTTATTGATGTATTGTGTCAATATCATAATGCGTTAGGAATATTTTTTTCGCTTTTATGTAAAGAAAAAACAAATTTTTTACATTTATTTGTATTAAACTCATTTTTACAACTAAAAAACATCGTAGGCGAATAAAATTTTTATTGAGGATTTATATCATCATTTTTTTCTTGAACTTTCACTTATGCCAGACATTGCCTCAATAAATGTATTCGATACTGATATATTGATTGGCGTCATCCTCCACGCTTTATATCACAAAATAAGATTGCAATCAATAGATCAATGTAAAATGTGTCGTGTAGTTGAACTCCAGAGTACTATTGATGTGAGTTTACGTTTTTACTATTATCCTATATGGC